GGCGGGCACGGTAGGGGGGTTCGGAGTCGGGTGGTTCGAACATTTAATCATCTGTAAAATTTTCACTTGTAAGGAATATCTGCATTGGGCACTTCCTCTAATAATTATAGTAGTATTAGTACTGCCATAAGCCTAAGGTACAACTGTCCCAAGTTTGAGACTTTTGTCACTCCTGTAACCACAAGCACTTGGAACATCTCAATAAATAAAAAAAAAGGTAAATAAACACGAAATGCATTTACTACCAGTCTTAATGTTTCTCTACTCTATTTCGCCTATAATCACCTGTAAATGCCGGTCAAATGCTCATCTGCAACACACAAGTACACCGCACGCCCGCCCTGTGCACAAACAACATGAATAAGAGAGAAACAACACTCTCTTAATCTTATTCATGTTGTTTGCGCACAGGGCGGGCGTGCGGTGTACTTGTAGTAGTAGATGTAGTAGTAGTATATAATCTTTATTTTCATCGGTATATATAAAACAGTGTACATGAGCTGGAAAGCTCTTTAACCGATATCTAACAAATGTATAAAAACAGTTATACTTGAAAGCTATAGATGACAAGATATGGGTAGTTTAGCTCTAGTACTCTATAACCCTGCGGCAGCGATCCACGGGCTATAGCCTAGGCTATAGTACTAAAGCTATGGGTAGTTTAGATACAATAATGTAACCCAAACCCAAGAGGATAGGGCTATCCTCTTGGGTTTGGGTTACATTATTTTATCTATGGGTAGTTATACTAATACTAATACTAATACTAGTAATAGAGAAGATGGATAGACAACATGCAATATTGTGTGTTGCAGATGAGCATTTGACCGGCATTTACAGGTGATTATAGGCGAAATAGAGTAGAGAAACATTAAGACTTTGGTAGTAAATACATTTCGTGTTTATTTATCTTCTTCTTTTTTATTGAGACGTTCCAAGGGGCAAGTGCCTGTGCCTGTGGCTCAGGCTGTGCCTGTAACGAGTCGGCCCATATTTTGCACTAACTTTTGCCTAAGGAGTAAGGGACCTGACTGCATACTGAAAACACCACGAAGGCTTACAAACATGTCACTGATAGCCAATGATGTAGATATCCGACGACTACAGTATTATGAGTACTCAGTGACTCACTGACTGATAGATTATATCAAACCTGAGTATCAAACAGCTAAATAACATATTCCAAATTTGGGTACAACAGCTCCGTTTACATATATCAGCGCCACCTCTCGGATAATTTATGGTTGATAGATAGGCATTTTTTATTGGGGCAATCAATCAGATAACACATTTACATGCACACACACGCGCGCACGCGCGCACGCAGTCAGATGTAAAGGGGGAGGAGTTACGCAGTGTAGATGATTTATTTGTAAAAAAAAAAACATATACAGGAAATAAACAAACGTAAATAAACATGCAGAAATAAGAGAAGAAATATCCAAGTGTTAGCAGAAAAACAATTCTTATGAAACTAGACATTGGTAAAGCTGCCAACAAAAGCCGCTCGAATTTTTACGCAACTGATGTGCAATCCTCAGTATAAATTATTTAGAAAATATATCCACGAGAAAAAAATGTAACAATTACATTTTACTTAGCTCTAGTAACTATAGCCCGCGTACAGTTGCCGCAGGCCTGCGGCAACTGTACGCGGGCTATAGTTACTAGAGCTACATTTTAATATATGCATATGCATATAGAATGCATATATATATGCATATGGAATTTTTGTATATGAATATATATATATATATATATATATGCATATGGAATTTTTCCGATAGAATACAATTTATGTGAATTATAGCCAGATATTCAGATTCGGGTTGAAACAGCGATTATAATGCAATAGACCAATGCTTTGAGTTGTGTTGTTAATGTGTTAATTAAGTTGACATGTGTTGTGAAATAAATAAATAAATGAGTAAATAAATAAATATATATATATATACATATATATTTACATATGTAATGTGTAATGTGGGGTGGAAAATGTGAGAGAAACAATGGTAGATGAGCTGAAGGAGGAAGGGTGTATATAAAGTGAATGTGGCAGCAGATGAAGAAAGATACAGAATGTGGGGGAGACCTATATACAAGGTGGTCAAAATTTCAATATACTCTATAAGTTCGCGCATGCGTACTACTTGCCAAAACACCGTTATTGAGTTGAAAAAGAAAGGACATAAATTATATTCAAGAGTAGTTTGAAGCAATAAAAGCATAACTAAATATTGGCTCGTTTAGCTATTTCTGACTAACCCTAACCCTAACCCTATATATATGATATATTATATATCTTATATATATATATATATATTAGTCAGAAATAGATAAACGAGCCAGGTCAACCAGAGGTCAGGGAGACATAGACCTTATCTGCAATATTACACAGTTACACTATAAAAAATTGTACGGTTCAGTCTCAATCTTTCCAATTTCCCTATGCTATGGATTATGATTGTTCGTAGAGTTAAATCTATGAGAGAATTATTTGTTAAAAACTCATTGTATATTTCTGTTAAACGTAGACAGCACATTCACGAGTAGTTTGGTAATATGAGAAAGGTTTATCGTAATGACTCATCTACACGATGATAAGATGCCTATACACTCCGTTCTCCGATTGGTATCTAATTATATAATAGCTTGGTGTGTTTGACATGCCCAGTATCCGTCACAAGAAGGAGTAGAAGAAGGAGACGAAGAACAACAACAAAAAGAAAGATTATGATTAGGTTAAGGCTAATGATAATAACAAGGACGAAGAATAGGTAGAGAAGGTGGAAGAGGAGAGAGAATAAAGCGATATAGAATAGATGGAGCAGGAAGAAGCTATAGGAGATGGATGCGGTGGGAGATAGAGCATGAGAAACAGAAGGTGGACGAGACCTATTTAACAGGTATATTCCTGGATATAACTTATATAGAGAATAACCCTGCATTCCCATTTTCCCTATACTCTATGTTCGCACATGAGTATGAACGGTCAAAATTTTGTTATTTTGTTGAATTTATAGTTTTAAAATAGAGAGCCCATATCCACGAGTATTTTCGCATGGAAACTTTATTCCGACATCCTATTTTAAAAACTTCAAGTTGCCCGGTTCGTGTTCTTATAATGAGATGTTTAAAGTGTAAGATCTGTGTATCCGCATGACCATGCAGTCGCTACCATGAGAAACATTTTATTTAAGCTATACTTATAATAATATAGAGCGTATATACTCGTGATTAGTTTGAGAAGGAAGAGAACGGGAGGAGGGGAGGCATAGGAGGGGAAGAATGAGGAGGGGAATGAGGGGGGCGTGGAGAACGAGGAGGATGGGGATTAAAATAGAGAGAAATTGGAAGAGGGGAAAATGAAGTGGTGGATGGGGTGGGAGGAGAGAACAGGAGGTGGTTGCACTGGTAAATGGGCGGGGGTTCTCAGCTCTCCAAATTTTTCGATCCGTCACTTAAATTGACTACGTCACGAATTTTCTATGGTAAAATTTGTAAATTTTTTGTTGCCATTTTTTTACATTAAAAATAAGAACTAACGGGACTAAACGTATCGTCAAATTCTTACCTGATAAGATTGTTTCTCAACTAGTTAAAAATCCAAAAAAACTTAGACGATTTGATATTATATTCCTGACATTAATTGCTTGCTATGGGCTATGTATGAGTCACGAGTGTATGTTCACACCGAACAATATAGTAAAATAGGAAGGATAATGCAGCAATTTAACCACAAAAAGTGAACAGAATTACTTATATTTTGTGAAAAAGTGGAAATATTTTTTTAATTTTTACTATTTACGGTGACGTAATCACTTTAACCCCACGCAAGCGTAGGATGTGCATGGCAAGAATAGCCATGTGCGAAAACAGGTATACACTCGAATTTCTTGTAGGACGGGCATGGCTTGGCGTAATTTAAATACGTAGAGTCGTAATCATGTGTAGGACGAGTACAATTATCCTAGTATAATCAGGGCATTAGCCTCTGGGGTGCATGGAAGCAGCTACACTCTAGATTTTAACACAAAATAAAAAAATATGCTAATTAAGGTAGTCTAATAATCGCAAGTAATCCGAAAATAAATGTAATGACGAATGGAGCAAAATTACAAATTACAAAACACAATTAATTCTTCAGCCTAGCCCTATCATACATGTGATTTATTTCTTGAACATTTTGTTCCTCTGGGAATTTTCTCATCCCATGGCCCTGATAGTTAATGATAGAAATTATTAAATAAAAAGTAAAGGGGGTGTGAAGGGAGTTAGGTACCGCGGTGATCTAGAGTCTCTTAATATAGAAAGGGACTCCATAAAAAGTCTATATAAAGGGACTATATAAAAAGTATATATAAAAAGTATATATAAAAGGACTATATAAAAAGTCTATATAAATGGACTATATAAAAAGTCTATATAAAGGGACTATATAAAAAGTATATATAAATGGAGTATATAAAAAGCCTATATAAGGGACTATATAAAAAGTATATAAAGGGACTATATAAAAAGTTTATATAAATGGACTATATAAAAAGTCTATATAAAGGGACTATATAAAAAGTCTATATAAAGGGACTATATAAAAAGTTCATATAAAGGGACCATATAAAAAGTCTATATAAAAGGACTCTACGGTGATCATCATCTGTTCTCAAGGTGATTGTACGTATGTACTTATAGAAGCCATAGTTGTCAACAAAGCCTGGTTCGTGCGGTAAAACTAAAAGCTGAAGCTCTAATCATGTACTCGTCGGTAACTAGCGTGATGAATTACACAGAACTTGTCATCAGCCACTGTTGATTTACGACATTAACAATATTAATTACGTACTATCTCTAGTACATATTTTCGAAGAGGTTTATCTGTAGTATAATCGCAAAATGCACGAATATGTTAACTTCTTAATTTGTAAGATGTACGCGTGATTCATACACGTTTATCTAGCACATATAGTCATAAAGATGTAGATAAACAAATACAATGTAAATTTTACGTAAAATAATCACAGTTTTTTATTATATTTATTATACAGACGAGTATATATTCTCAAATAATACCTATACACAAAAATAACAAGAGAGTTTTTGTTAATATCTTGTTATTGGAATTTATCTATCACGAGCTATAATAACTACTTCATGCAATACAATATATATATATGCAGAGAAAATAATTCAACAGTTTTAATATATTGGGTATATGTAGATTGTTAAACATTTCCCTAATAGCTACTCTATATATACAGAATTGATGTCGTGCTGCTAGCAATCTAGAATTCAGCACCAGGCGAAGGAAACCACAATATCACATCGACAGAACATGTATAGAAACTGTTTCTATTATTGGAATAAAATATACAATAATTAATTATCCATCAGTAATCACATTATCATTCGATTGAACTCTCTGAAAATTATCTCGAGTTAGCACACACATCCTTTACATAGATTTGCATGCAATTAATCGAACCGCCCTCACGTATGCGATTACAATCTCAGCCCCGAATGACTCCATGCAAAGCTCTATATACACTCCTACACCAGGTTAATCACAATTCTGCACCATCCTGATCACCTCTGCCGCCACTCCATCACCTAAACTTACAGTTACATGAAGCCTAACGTCAAAACGAGGTTAACCTACCACCAATCAACATTATTATTAGTAGTAACAATTTTAAAAGATCAAATAAAGTGAGAACTTTTAAAAGAGTTTTAATTAATATCTGATGATTTGGCTAAGGAATACCGCGACCCAGGATATCACACATTTCCCCATGGACCTTAATTAAACGCATATTTTGCAGCAAGAATTTGCTGGTAGCATATAAAAACCGTACCTATGAATCATGAAATCTGACCCCATTTACATATGGATAATGTTGCTGCCTTTGTTTTGTGAAGACATTAACTAAACGATTAGAATAATAACCTCTCAAATACTTTACCCGACAATGAATAATAGAAACGAATGTCATCTGTCGAGATTCCAATACGATCGAGAGCTTATTGACCCGACGCAAGTGCAAGCACTAGCTTACCACAACTCACTTGTACTCATGTACCGTTCGTCAGTTGATAATGAATTTTTAATTAGACAGGGAAACGTTGCAGGGCCTAATTAATAAATTATACCCCGGCCGTAACTGAACATCGTATTATAGCATATTTTCACAAACCTTATATATATATATATATATATATATTCAATATATAAGGTTTGTGATGATTATGTAGTTATTTCACTCGTAGCATCCGCAATGTGTTATAACATGGTTGCGTGTTATAGGCAGGTCTTAGAAGGCAAGCAAGCATAAACCTACATGGTAATATATATATAGTTACCTCCTTGCCACGCAATCAAACAAGTTCAACGATATCTCCGCTGTCTCCTGCAAAACAACTCGGGTCATCATTATCGCTCATCAATCATTCATTACAAATGCGATACACATAACATCATCTGGCTACACACATGTAATATATGTATATATATGGAGAAAACATTTACTCAAGTATATCAGGAATCTGGGTGACATTCATATACGTAATCGTCGCAGTCAATCAATACCACGTATTTACATGTATACATCGTTCCATTTATACATTACAGTGTCACGTGTGCGATGCACAGCGCCAAAATCGAATAATTAAGTAAGCAATTTAAACAGGTGCTGTTGTAATAAAAATATAAGCATAAATGATGGCTTTTATATTGTAAAGGTTTTTTATATTATCCTCTTACATTCATCTCAAATCATTTTAATATGCATAATTTGCAATTAAATACGTGTATTTTATTGTATCTTTAAGCAATTGACAAACTACCAATATTTGCTTGGAGTTTCCACCTACCCATATTAAGATGCAATATATTTTGTAGAATAGCACGGCTATATTATACGATGCCTTATATTAATAATCAAACTAACCGTTTAATTTCCCATATTATAGGTTAATTATTTACACCCCATGCTATCTGACGTTTTCTATGGCCCTGAATTATACCTTTGCCTTTCTGTACTCTGATTGGCTTCACCGAGAAGCAGAAAAGAAAGGGTAAACGAAAAAACATTCCAAAATATATTTCTCAATACATTTCGCCACATTCTCTCGAATGTTTACATATCTTAATCACAAAATGTTTGCATCGCTACGTAGCGTCACAGCATAATTATACACTTCATCTGAAAATGTTATGTGAAAGCTTGCAAATTGAGGTCTGGAATAGACGTATACTCGCGACTCAAATAATGCATGTGTAGAACTGCACGCGCGTGTCGGTTAATTCATTATTCCAATCGCAGAACACAGGTTTGCTTTCAAGAAGCGCCACGCCACGCGTAACATCGCCACGCTGCTACAATTTTGTATCCTCGAAATTTATAGTGGTCATCCTGGACCCAGTTTTGCTCTCACCGTTTGCGTAGACAACGCCGATGGGCGCTTCGGCACTGTCCATCAGGGAGTGCCTACTCCTCCTGACGACCAGCCGGTTTATGGCACTACTACTGGACGATGACCTCTGCATGCCGTTGCTTAGAGGCGCTGCGCCATTAGGCTGAGCGTTTATGCCTGCACCACCGTCGTCATCGTCATCGTTATCGTCGTAGCCGTTCATAGTGTTAGTGTCGTTGAGAAACTCCCACGAATCGCAGCACTCGTTGCGGTAGTTCCTGGCAGATTGTGGCCGCGTTGATGGCACCCTCTGGCTGCCGATGGCGGAGTCGCCGTCGTCGGTTGTCGGTACAGGTTCGTACGCGTAATCGTCACGATTGCCTGCGGCAGCGATATGTTACAGGTGCGTGAGTAACTTAAACTGCTGATTATACGGGTTGACTGCTAGTATTCAGTTACGGTACATGGGAGATCTAAAATGATCATCGGAATATATCTTAACCAGATTGTCGTTGTGCCGTATACGTTAATTAATACATTAATTTGAGTAAATATCTAATTAACAAACATAATCTAATACCTGAATCCTAACCATTTACATGGAAAAGTGGATGGATGGATGGATGGATGGATGGATGGCTGGCTGACTGGCTGGCTGGCTGGCTGAATGGATGGATGGATGGATGGATGGATGGATGGATGGATGGATGGATGGATGGATAGATTGACAGTCAGGCAGACAGAAGGCATATATATATATATATATATATATATATATATATATATACTACATGATACATAGATAGATAGATAATAGTAGACTGATAATATTAGATAGATATAAGATAGATAGATAGATAGATAGATAGATAAAGATAGGATAGATAGGATAGATAGTAGGATAGATAGATAGATAGAATTAGATAGATAGATAGATAGATAGAGTAGATAGATAGAGTATGTAGATAGATAATAGATATATATAGATAGATGAATAGATAATAGATAGATCATAGATAGATATTGATAATAGATAATAGATAGATAGATAGATGAGATAGATAGATTAAGATAGAGTAGATCCAGATAGATTGATAGATAGATAGAAGATAGAAGAATAGATAGATAGATAGATAGATAGATAGATAGATAGATAGATAGATAGATAGATAGATAGATAGATAGATAGATAGACACATAGATTGATAGATCGATTGATTGACTCATTCACGGCTATTTTCCCATCTAGATTTCGGTCGTTTTCCCGCCACAGGCATCACTGGTCTGCGGCATCCGCATGCATGATATATATAGCATATAATAGCTTACCGTTGCTATGCATTGACCTGCTGCTGGTGGTGCTGCGACGCGACTTGTTCAGCCTAGAGGGCAGCACGAGTACGTCGTCGCGCGCCGTGTCGCTGTCGAGCAGCAGCTGGTGTTGGTGATACATGTAGGCGAGATAGTCGGTGGGCGTCGCCGGAAAACTTCGCGTCGGCCGCCTCCCGTCTTCTCTGCCACCTCCGTCATCGTCATCGTTGTCGTCGGCGTAACCTCTGCTGTCGTCGCCGTCGTCATCGACATCATCGTCGTCGGCTTCCAGCTGCTCGACGCTCCTGGTTATCTAGCGATAACAACGTCGGAGTCACGATTTTTCGGACAGGGTCGATGACGCTCTGGGTTCTGTCGGATCGCACTCCCTAACCTTAACCCTAACCTAAATTTCCCCAGTAAGTCCCCAGTGTTTGGACTCAGGGATATATGGACCATTTTAATGCTCACTTTTCTTCCGCTGACCACAGAGGTAGTCGTTCATTGCCGGTTGCGTTTCTCTTTAACGCGGCTGTGGAGATTTCGCTGTTTTATCTCGCATATCTTTTTCGCAATTGAAATGAATGGTGATCAAAGACAGGTTAATGAACTTGTTCAGTGCGTAGATCATATAGGTAGCACGCACGCACGCACGCACGCACGCACGCAGCACGCACTCAATTACTGATGTACACACATACACACACACACGCACGCATGCACGTATACGCGCACACATACGCACGGACTCACTCACGCGCGTACATCGTACTGCGCGTTGTTCTTGACAGACTATACTAACTACCTTCTGAGCTAGACTGGCAGTGCTGTCGGTGCAGGTCTCCCCTGCGACCGCCACGCGCACCCTGTTGTCATTCCTGCGCGGTCTGACGCCATTTTCCACCAGACTCTGATTGCTGCTGCCGTAACAGTGCTGGCTGTCACTAGCGGTGCGAGAGTGCCGCATCTGTAAAGAATCCCCCCAACATACGACAATGCAAGAGTGCATATAGTAATGCAATGCGAAACTTTGGAAAACACGTATCGAGTACCAAACCAGTGGTACAGGAGTGTTGATCACAGCACCTCTCACGTTGGCACATTGGCTTAAATCAAAGAGCTAATTCGCTTTGCAGTAATTTTATTATCATACTGTGCACAGTTTTAGTGTGGCAAGTGGTATACGCATGATTCCTCTTTGCGTGCTCAACGATATAATCAGTGGGTGTTTGACGAAAGTTATGACAGGGTTGTTAAAATAATATCCACTTCTGATAGCTGGCGAATTTTCTAGAGCTGCCTGCTACTCGCGCATATGTCAAAATAATGGTGTATATTCTGGGGTTTTGCGTATATAATCAATGTGATTATTCATGTATCAACATGGGACACACGAGAGAACATCTTTCTATCGCTATATGTATATGCTATATGCATGCATGCGTACCTTTACAAGTGGATTACGGGCACTGGCTGGCACACTGGACAGGCTAGAGGTGTGCACTGTAGAGAAACTTTCATTCTGACTTTTGGTATAACGGTGCCTGTTGCCTCCCTCCAGATTTAGCTGTATGACCATGATGCTCAGGTTCTCCTTTGATCCATAGCTTTGTGCCAAATCCTAAATAAATTATGTCCGAAATATATTATTTATATATAACTAATGTACGAATAAGGTGACGAACTACGTTGTTAACTAAGCAAGACGGCATGACACGGTGGACCAGGAAAGCAAGGACTAGATGCTGCGCTCATAAGACATAGCTAAAATTAATCAGACAGGTAGAGTACAGACCAGGCGGACGGCATGTACTCTAATAGACAAGGATAACGTGTCTGGGACTAAGTCTCTGGGGACTGCAATAGCTCATGAACACTGATCAATATAAGACATTAATCAGTCAGCTCTCTTCGTCTTTTGTAACGCTCCCGCAGAGTATTACCGTATATGGGATTATCGTACGCAACCCGACTCTACACGTATAGACCTGCGCTCCCTGCAATGTATTACCCCCGCAACTCTGTAGTAGCATAGCACATGTTTCTCCCATTTCCATTCCTCACGGGCACGGACATATTTAGCAGGGAGCGTCGTAACCGTGACTCCGATTGGACCTTTATTACACATAGATGAGGGGGCGGTTGGTTATAGGTAGGGACATATACGATGCTGGAGCGGGTGACGAGCAGAGCCGTATACAGAGAGAGTTGCGACAACGCGTCAATCTCTATATACGGCTCTGGTGACGAGGCGGCGGTGGCGCCCCCTACCTGTAGCTTCTTGGCGGCGAGCACAGGGTTGGCGACGTGTCGTATCTGCTGGATTGCGTCGACGTACGACACGTACTTCCACAGGCCGCAGTTGGCGACGATGATGAATTCGTCGTCTGCGCGCAGCTTCGTCGTGATGATGTGCGGATCGGGGATGACGGCCGGAAACAGGTAGCCGCAGCCGAGCATGCGCGTAGCGTCCGTGTTACCGTTTACCTTGTTGTCCTGCGTGCGGGATGAGGGGAGCGTGCAACGTACACATGTCAGTGATACAGCGCGCATATACATCGTGCATGCAGTGTAGCGTATAGTGTATAGCGTATAGTGTATAGTTTATAGTGTATAGTGTATAGTGTATAGTGTATAGTGTATAGGTGTATAGTGTATAGTGTATAGTGTATAGTGTATAGTGTATAGTGTATAGTGTATAGCGTATAGCGTATAGCGTATAGCGTATAGTGTATAGCGTATAGCGTATAGCGTATAGCGTATAGCGTATAGCGTATAGCGTATAGCGTATATAGTGTATAGCGTATATAGTGTATAGTGTATAGCGTATAGCGTATAGCGTATAGCGTATAGCGTACGCTATACGCTATACGCTATACGCTATACGCTATACACTATATACGCTATACGCTATATACGCTATACGCTATACGCTATACGCTATACGCTATACACTATATACGCTATACACTATATACGCTATATATAGTGTATAGCGTATATAGTGTATAGCGTATCGCGTATAGCGTATAGCGTATAGCGTATATAGCGTATAGCGTATATAGTGTATAGCGTATAGCGTATAGCGTATAGCGTATAGCGTATATAGCGTATAGCGTATATAGTGTATAGCGTATAGCGTATAGCGTATAGCGTATAGCGTATATAGCGTATAGCGTATATAGTGTATAGCGTATCGCGTATCGCGTATAGCGTATATAGTGTATAGCGTATATAGTGTATAGCGTATCGCGTATCGCGTATAGCGTATATAGTGTATAGTATCTAGTGTATAGTGTATATAGCGTATAGCGTATAATATAATAAGTGGGCGGTTATTGTCGGGCCGCGCGATTAAACTATATCAATTATCTGAGAGCCGGGAAATACAAGATGATTGTTTTGTAATTGGGGAATAGAAGTAGGCGGGAAAGCCCTGAATTGCGGTTTTATGTGTGTGTGTGTGTGTGTGTGTGTGTGTGTGTGTGTGTGTGTGTGTGTGTGTGTGTGTGT